CCGCCCTTTTTACGTTTGGCTATTTCGAGTAGTACACGACTTTCACCCAACTTAATACAACATACGTCATCAGCGGATTTAGCTCAGTTGGGAGAGCGCCAGACTGAAGTAAACTTCGGTCACTGAAATCTGGAGGTCTTGTGTTCGATCCACAAAATTCGCATTCGCTTACTTTTTTGGCCTAACCTCAGTTGAATTCGATGTTCGATTTGTCAGCATATAGGTATCGACTTTAGGCTTCGTAGTTTTTGATTATGTCGTATGATCCCCAGTTGTTTTCGGTCACCTTATTGCTCAATTCACTAAGTGAAATTATTTTTTGATTGTGCATACTATGTGGTATTGTCTGCCGCTAGCTTGCTAGCTACGATGAGGACCAAATTGATCGCAGTTTCTTTTTATGAAACACGTTACCTCCTCTAACATCGTGTGTGACTATATTCACTAAATTAACCTACAACTATTGTGCGATTCAACGTGAAACTTTTTGATTAATTGTTCAAAAATCCAAAATTTGTACAAATTTGTGAGTATTGCACGTCCATTGATTGTAGTTGGTAATGGGACAAAGCTTGGAACCACGGATTTGTCAATCACCAAAGTCGCTTTATTGGTCCCCATTTTGTCGGCAGTTCTTCGAGTCACTTATCTTCCACTGAGGCGTTCGGCAATACAACGAATGATGAGGACCCTGGCCACAACTATTATGCAATAGATTACAACTTTACGACGGATTTAGGACTGCATTCCGCACTGGTTTAAGGAGTATCCCCGATCCTTAGGTTACATTTCCGGTGAGGGGGTCTGTGCACAATATCCCAGAACTCATTTGCCACAAAACTCCCAGGGATACACTACCCACAATGAAAATAATCTAAGTACGTAGGTACAATTCTCGCCGCGTTTACCACGCATTCAAGAAGCAATTCCCCCAATCGTCCACTGACGAATGGCACAGACTGATCTTGTCTGATCTTTCCCAAACTTCGAGCTCTCCATGCTGGTCTCTACTTGACGATTCCTAACGTCCGTTAGAGATATATATCACTCCACATCCAGGTTGCTCCTCGCGAGCTGCTGAATGACCAATCGTATGCTTCCACAAGGTGCACTTATCGTCAGCCTAACAATGAGTTTACCTATTACAATGCCATTGGCGCTTACAGCTTACAAATACCATTTTTGCGGTTGCTAGGTATGGGTTGAAAGAAGGGGAGGGGTGGTCCCCACTGTCGGGGTTGCTATACAAGTACTGATAAGCTAAGATGACCAGATTCGACCAAATCAAAATATTTCAGCGACGCCCTTATTCCAATGTATCACTGGAATGGTAAAACAGCTCTTGTAGTCTCACAGAGGGCGAGAGGCTGTCGCTATACAATGATCTGTATGAGCTCTCACCATATACTTTTTCGCATCCGGTGTCGCTAGTCGCGCGCGCGCGCACCTTGGCCAATCGATTTTCAGCGTTTTCTCACTCGTCATCACCGTACACTATGGGTAAGTTTCCATGGAAAGGGGCTCCATTCCCTCGAATCGACATCATCTGATTGACCAACGATACTAACATGTACCAGACAACTACGCCGACCACAAGAGACCTGAGTTGGTGTCGTTTGACGACATTGACTACCTGAAGTTCGACGAGGTGTCGGCGGCGAGAAAGTCGATGTTGAGAGAACAGTGGATTCGGACTTACCAGGTGAGAGCCACCCACGAAGCATTGAGAAAGTGCAAGCAGTACCACCAGCAGGACGCGCAAAAGAACTGCCGCCCGTTGATCTTCAAGTACATGAAGATGATCGAAGACCACTACGGGTTGGAAGGGTACTTGGGCTACCAGAAAAATGACCCCTCCCAGTGAATTACACGCCCCGCTTCACTTCTTTTCCCCTCCGTGGCGTCGGCCGCAGGTGTACCATAGCCAAAAAAAGAAAACCTCTAACTACTACCAATAAATATTGCATAGATTATCTGTCGACCACTGAAGTAGCCCCGCCTTTGTTGCCACAATAGCAGCCGCCGATCACACCACAGTCACAGCGGTGCTCTGGTGATTTAATTAATGGTATTGGTACCTACCGCCTATCGCCTTACTTTCTCGTGTTGGTCTGGGCTCTGCAACCGGTCGTTATTACCGAAGGCAATGGCTTTGTGATTTAATTCCTATAGTTTAGTGGGGTGAGGAAAAATATAGTAGCCGCGACAACGGGACTGGGGCACACGGGTATGATCGCCAAAACTCTTTGAATTTCAGTCAACAAATGTAACCGTAATATACCACAAGTCAATGCCACCGTGCTGGTACCATATAGTCACCTTTCTGCCTCGTTCCACTTATTTCAGAGGCGAACCACAGCGGCCCCAGAGGGGACCCGCCTCAGAAGCTAGGGAAAAAAGTAACATGAGGGATACCGGACCAATTATCAGCCACCGCAGATATAAAACCTCGAGGGATCCCCCCCCCCTTCCCCACCGAACGACGAGTTCGATACCCCCTCATTGTGCCATTGCTCTCAAAGCTTTCCCCTGCTACTGCCAATGCACCAGTGCAAGCTGTGTTTCTGTTGTGCCCCCCATTACCGGCTGGACCGATGCTGCTACCAGTGTAAGAGAATCCAGGTCTACAATTGTGGTGGATGCAACTTGCAATGTTGCACCAATTGCCATTTGAACATCAATCCCCGTCAGATCCCTCGCAGTTTCATCCGCCAGCGATGACTGAGAGATTCCTCCTAAAAGCAGTTGTAAGGTGTGCTGACCCCTGGGATCCTATGCTTTTACAACTATCAAGGTTAAGCTTTGATTGCAGGCGTTAAACGCGTCTCTTTTCGCAGCAAAATTTACCGACGATTTTCGCAGTTTTGGGAAAGATCACAACCCCTTATCTCTGGGGCTAGAGGCTTGCGATGAAGAACTATGGCGGCACTCGCCACCTCTCAGCTTTGGTCCCGATTGACAAAAGCTCAATTGCTAAGTAACCCGCCCGCTAAGACTATAACGACGTTTGGCTGAGGCTGGATGATGTCAGGAGAGGGCGGTTTGCCTGCCGCGATACATGATTTACTAGGGGGGAGAGTCTTGCCCCGAGATATCCGGCGTATTCCTTAAATTGTCAACCCCAGTTATAAAGCAAAATTACATACACCTAGATGATATGTCACTAGCCCCTGAACGATCCCCACTCTTCTTTTTATTTTCAGTTGGCGGTGGTCAATTTAGCCCGGACACGACCTTATTGATTCCGACCCTCGACCAAGGTAGAATGAACCAATCATAACGCGTCAGGCCACATTTACAGTCCGTGTTGTGTGAGACAATAGCCCCATAATAGTAATGTGCCTAGAACATGGCCAGTTACACCACCAAGACACACCCCGCAATCACACTAAATTCAACACACTTTCCTAGCCATCAATTGCTACTTGCCTTGGACTCTACTCTTACCATCGTCTACCAACGGTCCGAATTTCGCACATTACGATAGGTCAACACCGGATGGTAGCGCTGCGCACCCTCGCCTGTGGTTGGGCACAGTCGCATTCAATTGGCTATTGAAAAAATTTCAATCCACAACGACCTTCACCACCACTATGTTCGCCAGAGCCGGTTTGCAAAGCGTTGCCCGTGTCAACCACGGTGCCAGAGGGTACGCTACGCTCCGTGAAATCGAAATGGTACGTTTCCTCCCCCCGCCATTGACCTTCTCCGTCCAATTATACTAACCCCGCTAGAGATTGAAGTCGATCAAGAACATCGAAAAGATCACCAAGACGATGAAGATTGTTGCCTCGACCAGATTGAACAAGGCCCAAAGAGCCATGGCTGCCTCGAGAGTGTTCAACGAGTCTGACGCTGAGTTCAACGCCAACGCCGAACCGGAAACCAAGGACGAAGGCAAGACGTTGTTGATCGCCGTGTCGTCGGACAAGGGGTTGTGTGGCTCCATCCACACCCAAATCGCCAAGTACACCAGAAGAAGACTCGGCGAATTGAACGGCAACGCCGATGTTGTCGCCGTCGGTGACAAGGTCAAGGCGCAATTGTTGAGAACCCACGCCGACCACATCAAGTTGGCCTTCTCCGGCGTCGGTAAGGAAGAACCCAACTTCGCCGAAGTGTCGGCCATCGCCGACGAAATCGCCCAGTTGGGTGAATACGAAAACGTCGAAATCTTGTACAACAAGTTCGTGTCGGGTGTGTCGTTTGAACCGTCGAAGTTCGGTGTGTTCAACGCCGAAGCCATTGAAAAGGCCCCCGGTATCTCCAAGTACGAATTTGAAGGCGAAGACGTCGCCGCCAACTTGGCCGACTTCGGCCTTGCCAACTCGTTGTTGACCGCCATGGCCGAAGGTTACGCCTCGGAAGTTTCTGCCAGAAGAAACGCCATGGACAACGCCTCCAAGAATGCCGGTGACATGATCAACTCCTACACCATTTTGTTCAACAGACAGAGACAAGCCGTCATTACCAACGAATTGGTCGACATCATCACTGGTGCCTCGTCGTTGGACTAAACAGGTTTCAGCCTTTACGAAGTCATATATTTATCAAATAAGATAAGAATAGAAAACAGTAGCATCTTTCGAATCGTCATCAGGACTTACCATCGTTTTCCCCACGTCAATCTATCTTACAATATTTGAGCTGCACTCGGAAATTTTGTACTACAAATAATCGACGATTAGTTTATTATTATTATTATGAATCTAAAGACGTTCGCCTTAATCGTTCTTGAGCGACCCAAACACTCGCTTGACGAAGAAAAGCCCCGTCAACACCCCCAACGCGCCACAAGCCACGCCTAAGCAAATCAGCATAAGCAACATGTAGCTAAAATATACAAGCACACTCACCCATTCCCGAACGTCCAAGTAGGCGAAGAAGTAATAGGTGACAAAGCCAAACACGTACACCCCGACCAGCGCGCCACACCTATAAGCAAGCCAATGCCAGTTGGGGTCGTTATACACCGCTAACGAGGTGTAGATCGCCACAATGGTACACTCGGCGACAATGATGATCAAAAGCACAAAAGCCACGAGCAAAAACCCGTAGGTGTAGTAAGTAGTCTTTTCGAGCCAGAGGGCGTGGAACACGTAGGTGAGCTCGACGTATATCAGCATAAAAGGAAACAAACCAAACACCACCGTGCTGAAAAGCGGGTTGGTGATCCAAATGTAGCGCCGCCCTGACACCGACAGCTTTTCTTGGACGCCGGCAGCGGTCAGCGTGAGAAACGACTTGGGGTCAAATCGTTGGCGATTAGCGTAAAAACCGCCAACCATGCCTAGGGGAATTTGCACCAACCCAAGGAATAAGAGTACGGTGACGATAGTTCCCAACGGGAGGGCTGTACTCAGCTGTTTCGCCCACACGAAAAAGTTGAGTACGAGCACCGTAGCCACCACCACTGCGGGTAATGCCCCGGCGAACAATATTGAGAGAACCATAATTTTGCGTTTGGAGTAAGGAGTATTGAGCAGATGGTTGGTCACAAGCTTGTAAAACAATACCCCGCCGTAGGTCAGGATGATCCCCAGCAATACTAGCACCACGATGGCAAGAGTGAGGATCGGTCCTTGATGGCGCTCGATCACCGCTACCGCTCCTCTCAGAGTGTCGAAGAACCAGAAGTTGATTGCAAGGATGACGAGGACTCCGAGGCAGGCGACTAACGTCTGAATGCCCATCGCCACCAGAATGGCAAGCATGAGCGGCGCCCACGGTCGCGTGAGTACTTGCGAAGCTAACTGACTCCATTTGGCCGGTGACGGTTTCGGGGTTCCATCGTCAAACTGGGGTAATCCGGGACGGCTGGTGTTGATGTCCTTGTGTACCATCGAGAGCACTACCACCGTCACCACCAACGTCATAAGCATGATCACCGTGAGCGACAGCAATAACAGCATCCAGTGAACCTTCAGGTTGCGGCGGTTCACCAGCGTCTGTTGGTAAAGGTCCCAGCGGTTCTCATAGTCCATCAGCTTATCTTCACGCCAGTACACGGAATACGTCCAGGGAATCGTCACCGCCACAGGGATGGCGTCCCCTTTACTGTCACGAGTAGGAGGGAGGGCAAAGTTCTCAAAGTTCTTCCGCAGACCAGGACACTTTTCGTTCAGAACCGATTTGGGGTATACTTCGAACCCGACAATCGACCACAACCCTGTAGCCTGATCGCGGTGAGTGCGGAACACAAGCTGAACGTGGTTGTGGATGTAGGCCTTGCCATTAGCCTCGAACCCAAGGGGGAATCCGGCGGCGTAGAACGTTCGCTTGCCCTGGGTGTAAGTGGTGGCCCCCGGAAGGCCATCGACCTCCCAATGAATAATGTAGCCATCGTGGATGAGTTGGGTAGCCTTTGTGACCCCTTTTTGACGGGCTACAAAGTCGCAGAGCCGTTTGCAAGGCATGTCGACGCCAAACTTCAAGTCGTAGGCCAGCTCCCACTTGCGGTCCCCCAGAAGGATTTCAGCAAGCAGGAGCGCCAACGGACTGAGGTCATGCGACGGCGGACACACAAACGGCAACAGGTAGTAGCTGTAATCCAATTGAGAGTGATCCAGCTCCACTTTGTTGACAATCAAGTCAACTTTCTCCCCCTGGCGGTATTGGCGGCGGTGGTTGAGAAGATCCCAGGCACACACCACCAGCAACCACCATGCCCACCCGGCCAATAGCGCTGGTAATCTCATATGGAGCAGTGATGGAGGGTCGGAAAGTGATCAAACGGATAGTCTAAGGGACACGTGACGCGAATCTGTTTTTTCATTCCGCGCGGCTGGTTCCTGCAGAGAACAATATCCATAGCCATTACTAAATAGCTAAACATCGTGGGATTAAGCCACAACCACCCCCCCTCACGCCGTATGCTAAAGGATCTGCGACGATCGCTTTGACTTGACATTCGCAAATCGACGAAGTACGCGTAGAAATCAACCCAAAAATTTCGGGGTTTATATTTATACTTCATAGCAATGCGTGTGTGTTTGTTTACAAACGTCGGCCGATTATGACAGTCGCTCAATGACATCATTTAGCACCGACTCATCGATGAGGAGTTACATTTGTATCGTATCAGTTACTTCAGGGTCGTTATCATTAGTCTTTGAGCAGCTCCATTGCCTCCTTGATAATGTAGTTTCCTTTAGGGTCCAAGTGGAGGGCAATGGTAAACTCACGGATTGCACTGAACTTGTCGTTCTGGATATTGTAAAGCTGGCCTAAAAGGAAGTGCACCAGGGCTTCGTCTGGAGCAATCTCCTTTAATGTTTCGAAAATCTTCAAAGCCTCAGCAAATTGTTGGAGGGAAAAGAGCAATTGGGCTTTTTTGAATAGCGGCAACGGATTGAGTGGCTGGAGCTTACACGCCAAATCATATTGGCGAAGTGCAAGCGTTTTTTTGCCGAGTTTATCAAGCACCATCCCCACACAGCAGATGAGAATAATATTGATGGGGTTGATCCCCACTGCTTTGCGGAAGTGGTAGTCAGCCTTTTGGTAGTCGCCAAGACTCATGTACACCATACCAATGCCGTAAAAAGCGTTGTAGTGGCGACCATCAAGTAAAAGCGAGGTACGGAAGTTTTCGAATGCCATCTCGTAGTTGTCGTTGGAAAAGTACTCGTGACCCTTGAGAGTGTAAGCATACACAAACAGCTTATCGAGTTTAGTAGCTTTGTTGAGCGCTTTTATCGCTTCATCAGGTTCCCGATTGAGTGAGAAAAGATTGCCGATGGCACACCATGTAACCGGCAGTTGGGGGTCGAGATCATGAAGCTCGTTAGCCAAATAGGTAAGATCGGCTTTTTTGTGGAGATGCCACAAAAGCGTGGAGAAGTATTCCATGTCCTCAAGCCGCGTACGATCAACTTGTCGGAGTCTAGCAAAGAAGAACTCCAGCTGTTTATAGTTAACGATCTCGTAATGAAGCTTACCAAGCTTGGCAAGCACCCAAGGAGTATCCTTCTCTTTATCCGGTAGCAGCTCTAGTAAGCGAATAGCTTTATAACAATCGTATCGACAAAGTGCCTTAAACGCTCGTCCTAGCAACAAATAGAGTTTTGCTAGCGTTTGCTCTGCTTTGACGATTTCCTTAGTGACAAAGAGTGACGTTTCCACCAGCGTCAGTCGGTGCATTGGCGGTTTCAGGGAGAAATTACGCGCTGACGCCTGCCCCGGTGCATTGGGACCGTGGCTTCTCTCGGGAGGAGCTAGTGTGATCGAGCCAAACGAGGTATTGGCAAGGTTCAGGTTGCGGGGTGCCATTCGCCCTGAAAATTGAGGTTTAGGCTTGGGGAAATCGCTATTTGCCAGTCGCTTTAACACCCCATCAAACGTCAAGTTGGCCCTCGGAGGACTCAAGATGTCACCCACACTATCCTCGGCATCTTCGTGCCATACCTCCTGAGTATCAGTGGCGATAAACACGTTGGTATCGGTCAAAGTACCGTCAAACACCGCTTTCGCCTTGACGTCAACCCCAAGCTTACACAATTGCTGGAACGCCTCAAAGTCAAATCGGTTCCACTGAAGGGCCTGAGTATAACTTAACGCACTGTTCTTAACGTCATTTAGTTTGCGATAGAGATCACCTAACAAATGGTAGATGACCAGGGGGTCGGGGTATATTGAGCGGTGGGTCTCGTATTCATGGCGTTGCTTGGGCGTCGTTTTCTTCTCGCTACCAACGTAAAGGAAGTCGCCTTTGGTGAGCTGGTACACCCCTTCCTTGTACTTTTCAAGATGAAGACAACACCTAGCGAAAAGATAAGTGCACCCCAAATGGGTCACGGTGTCGGCGTGGGCCACCACGGCGTAGAGGCGATTGTAGGCCAGCTTATACTTGCGTTGATGCACCAACAGCAACGCGTACAAGTAGATCAGCTCCAAGTTACGGGGGTCAAGGGTGAGCAAGCGCTCGCCAGCAAACTCGGCATTGGCGTAGTTGAAGTGGTCAAGCGAGTGGATGATCACCAGCCGTAGGTGCTGGACAAGGTAGTGGAGCTCTCCTTGAGTCGGTGGCAGCATCCAGACGAGGCGGGGGTTGGGGGATGTGGACAACGGGTTAAGCTGGCGGGGACTTGATCTGCGATATAGTGGCTACGGCTGTCTGAGCGACTATGTGCAGGAGGCGCAGGTTTGTATGTTTTGTTTATGGCTGCGAAAAACACTGGTAAGAGGTGTGTAGCATTTTAACTATAACACTTGGTCTAAGAACGCCACCAACCGCGTCAACCCAAAGTATTTTTCCCGGTCGACGTCGCGGAACTTCAACTGAGGGTTGCGTTTGATATCGCGCAAAAGCGAGTTCTCGAAGATGAGACAGGCGTCGTGGACCCCCCACGGCTCGATGTGAACTTCGATTTTGCCGCCTTCAGGGGTGGTGCGGTGGAACTCGTGGATGCTACGGTCTAACTTGCCGCCACTGTTCCCCAACTGTTTCTTGTTGTCGTACATGGGAGCGCGCAACGCGTACTTGGCCCATTCCAACACATCGTCTCTGAACACTTCGTCCTCGCCACAGATGACGAAAGTGTTGCCTTTTTTCAACGACGGAAGGTTCCAGTCGTCGTAGGAGTAAGGGTGGTTCCCCGGGGAGCATTCCAACGACGCAATCTCCGAGTTGCCGGTGATGGCGACAATCTTCAGCGGGTCGGCGAACCCGGTGTAGGTGATCATATCGCGCCCATCGTTGTCATAGAACAGATTGCCAGGGGTGAACTGGCTCTTGGGGATCGTCAACTTCACCCAGGGCGAGATCAACACCAGGTTAGCCGGCGGGGGTAACTTCAACTGGGTGCGGTGAAGGTGCGCCATAAACGCAATCGCCAAGTTACCCCCGGCCAGGTCTCCCATCAAGGTGATGTTGGTGTAGCCATCAGCCACAAGCTTGGTGTACAATGCCACCAACTGGTCCAATTGGCGAGGGATGGTGAAGCCTTCCGAGGCGAGGTCGTAGTCCAAGTGGATTATCGACACATCGTTGCGTCCGAGCAATTTGTAGGTGGCAATCAACGATTGCAATTGTGACGGCGTCGTCTGCAAAAAATAGCCACCTCCGTGTAAGTAGATGATCAAAGGGTCCGAACCCGTCGCCATGGGGGGTTGAGCGATCCAGATCCCGTTCTCGTCGTATCGCTTACCGTACCCGGGAATCGATGACGTCACCGTCTTGTATAATCCACCGACAATGGTGTTAATCATCGTCATGTTGGAAACCGGCACCACATACTTGGCGTCGGGCACGGGCACTTCCAACGCTTGTTTCGCCATCAGTAACTTCGCCATATTGAGGGGGCTGTTACGGTACTTTCTCAGCCACCCACCAAACAACACCGTCCGCAACGCTGCCACCAACATGGCAAGGGGGATGCCGAGAATGGCGCACAACCCTTTGATGCTAATCATTGTTTGTGGGGTTTTTTGGACGGGTCCGAACCGCCCCGCCCTTATATGAGGGGCACATAAATTTACACATGCACATGTCCTGCACCCCACGTGATTTTCCTACATTTTATTCCAATGTCGGTAACATTTTTCAATTACGTTCATATACGTTACACACAGTAGATAGGCCCCGCCTTTCTCGTCACTGCAAGAATTAGGCGTCACCACCTCTCAATCTGAGAACCAAGTGGAGGGTCGATTCCTTCTGGATGTTGTAGTCCGAAAGGGTTCTGCCGTCTTCCAACTGCTTACCAGCAAAGATCAATCTTTGTTGGTCAGGGGGGATACCTTCCTTGTCCTGGATCTTGGACTTGACGTTGTCAATGGTGTCCGACGATTCCACTTCAAGGGTGATGGTCTTACCGGTCAAGGTCTTGACGAAGATTTGCATACCACCTCTCAATCTGAGCACCAAGTGGAGAGTCGATTCCTTCTGGATGTTGTAGTCCGAGAGGGTTCTGCCATCTTCCAACTGCTTACCAGCAAAGATCAATCTTTGTTGGTCAGGGGGGATACCTTCCTTGTCCTGGATCTTGGACTTGACGTTGTCAATGGTGTCCGACGATTCCACTTCAAGGGTGATGGTCTTACCGGTCAAGGTCTTGACGAAGATTTGCATACCACCTCTCAATCTGAGCACCAAGTGGAGGGTCGATTCCTTCTGGATGTTGTAGTCCGAAAGGGTTCTGCCGTCTTCCAACTGCTTACCAGCAAAGATCAATCTTTGTTGGTCAGGGGGGATACCTTCCTTGTCCTGGATCTTGGACTTGACGTTGTCAATGGTGTCCGACGATTCCACTTCAAGGGTGATGGTCTTACCGGTCAAGGTCTTGACGAAGATTTGCATACCACCTCTCAATCTGAGCACCAAGTGGAGGGTCGATTCCTTCTGGATGTTGTAGTCCGAAAGGGTTCTGCCGTCTTCCAACTGCTTACCAGCAAAGATCAATCTTTGTTGGTCAGGGGGGATACCTTCCTTGTCCTGGATCTTGGACTTGACGTTGTCAATGGTGTCCGACGATTCCACTTCAAGGGTGATGGTCTTACCGGTCAAGGTCTTGACGAAGATTTGCATACCACCTCTCAATCTGAGCACCAAGTGGAGGGTCGATTCCTTCTGGATGTTGTAGTCCGAAAGGGTTCTGCCGTCTTCCAACTGCTTACCAGCAAAGATCAATCTTTGTTGGTCAGGGGGGATACCTTCCTTGTCCTGGATCTTGGACTTGACGTTGTCAATGGTGTCCGACGATTCCACTTCAAGGGTGATGGTCTTACCGGTCAAGGTCTTCACAAAGATTTGCATTGTTGTGAGTGTTGTTGAATATTGCGCCAGTGGCAAACGATTTATATTTATGACCCCGTGCCACTGCCTCTGCAGGACGTCGGCCTGCATAAAAGCTGTGACCTTTAATTTCTATATCTGGTGGAGAAAAAGCAATTCAATAAGGTGTCCACCACAACGTAGGGTATAGATTCAAAGTTTGAGCCCATTTGAGTTACTTTGGCGTCCTTGGCTGGTCTAAATAGAGGGCAGGTTGTTGCTCGGGGATTAGCCAGGCCATTGTTTTGTTTCAAATGGTGGTTATAGAACCTTCTCGACACCTGACATTTGGCCTGCATACGCGCAGTTGCACGCCGCCACCGAAGATAGGGGTGACCCGCCATGCTCAGCAATCGGCTGTGAAGAAAGGGTGGTGGCTTCAGCCTCGCCCGCGGCTCACCCGTGTTTCTCGGGCCAGTGTTGATAATTAACGTTTCTTTTAAAATGGCACCAATGCCACTGGAATTTCACCGTAGTAACCTCCGGTCAATCGGTATCTACCAGGCTTGCAGGGGGAACTCCATTCGAGCGCGGGAGTCTCCGGCAGCAGCCCCTCTCTACAGTGTGGGGATTAAAATATACCTTGTTCGATAAAAAACACCAATTCACTCTCCATCGAGATGAGGATGAAAATGGTGACTACAAATGAAAAGTGCAAAAAAGCCATGAAGAAAATTCCCTCAAACCCATAACCAGAACTGAAAATAAAAAAAAAGGAGTATCATGAACACCAGGTCACGCTGCCTCTTCGATTAAGGTGTCGAGCAGAATTCCCATATACCGGTTCGGGCGCGGTAAGTCGAATGACTTGACGCCTCGAGGGTCCTCGGCCACGATGGTGGCGATGTCATCGACGTCGATCAGCGTCCGCTTGAGTCCCGGAGTGTTCATGTCAGAACGGTAGCGGTGAATGTCGACGCGGTAGCTTTTCAACTGGTCGATGTTCGACACCAAATCGACAATCGTGCGCGCCCGTTGGCGGATGGTGTCGTCGTTGGCATAGGTGAGGGCCTCGAACTTGGGGCGCTGGCGGCGGACCCATTGGCAAAACGGCTCCAGGCCATTTTGCAAAAGGTAAAGGATTAGCAGAAGCGTTTTGAGTAACAGCGTGCGCTGCCGTTCAAAGTCTCGCATGTGATCGAGGCGCTTGTTGAGCACCAGGGTGATGGTGTTTAACTTGGATTGGTTGAAGGTGTAAGCCGAGAGCTCGACCAACTGGTGGTTGTTGGCACCGATACCGGTGTTACCGGTGACTAGGGGTTAGACACGAGGCGTTAGTGTGGGTGAAAGAACAGACATACCTTGTTTCACTTTGGCGTCGACGTTCAGACCGAACTTGAGCCCCCGAAGGGAGATCGACACCATCAATCGGGATCAGATAGAGCAGGGCTGGAACCAACGCTGACGACGTCGTCCACAGGGGGCAATGCTCGAGAGGTTATATAAAGAGACCCCCTGGGGCTATGGGTTGAATGAACACGGCTTATGTGCACTCTCTGCATCGTGTGAGATGATGGGCGACTCAGCGCCAGCAACCAAAATCTCAGGATAGGGGTAAACGCTGGCGTTATCGCACTGGGCGAGCGATAGCTAATTATATGGTCCTCGTAGTTTACGTAAGGGCAGGCAATAATAGGAGTAGAGAGCCAAGTTTTTGCCAAGAACTAGCTAGTGCCGCTATCAACAACATCCACGACTAGCAGCCTGTCTAAGTTTCGGAACTATATGTTTGACGGCTTACTTAAGCTGATGGACTATCCGCGGTAATTCGTATTAAGCCCTGTTTATTTGATTCGGTATGTTTGTTGTTGCTGGTGACGATGCTTGTGGTGCTATCGGGCCGACCGCCACTGTGGGAGCACCACGTGAGGTGACACAAACCAATCGTCGGCCGGCTCCGTTACTTCCGTGCGTAGAGTTTGTGGTAGTCGCACTAATTCTTAGTAGAGCCAGGCTAACAGATCGGGACAAAAACTCCGGCGTCGGACCCCCAGCACGGCGACTCGTCTCCTCCGGTACTGCCGAAGGAGGTCACAGGCTACACACAAAGTGAGAGAGGGAAAGCGGTGTTTCGTAGGGCGTGACCGTAGTATTATGAGGCGAGAAAAATCTGGTGCTGGATTGTCGTCGATTTTACAAGAAAGTTAAGCCGGGGTTGGTGGGTAGTGTAGCGATGCCATTTGCGGTGAGCAGAGCATTTTTTTTTTTGTTTTTCGTGCCAAAGTACAGGACGAGTCCGGCCCGTGCGAGTCATCCCCGCAATCGATGACGACGGACCAATTGAAGCAAGTGGTCGTGCCACTACTAACTTTTAGTGGTGTGACGACAAACGCTAGACGGTAATAGCCGACGCCCGCACCTGTCGTCGTCGCCAGAAACCACCACGTAAACCGCAAATCCATCACAGGGGTGCATGGTGCTGCTATCACCGACGAGAGTCGCGGGATGTCTCATCTCTAACTGTAGCTCGGAGGGGAGACGGCAATCGCTAGTTGTGTGATTTAATGTTACATCACGTGACCAAGAAAATTTTAGGCAAGTGTGCGCTGCAATACTACATCGGGGCAGGGCGGTTTTCCCAAAAACCTGTTTCTCAACCTCACCACCCGCTGCCCAAGCGCCCCCCTCGTGCTCACGCTCGTCTTTTTTGACACCAATCCGGTCCCGCAACCGACGTTTCCTCAACCACACTCGATACGGTTGGCGCTGTTGTGTTGCCGTGCTGTTTCTGGCGTCCAAAAGACCTTTTAATTCCCCCCCAACCCTCTTTCCATTCGGAGTTTTATTTCTAATCGGAGATGGCTCCAGTCACGGCGGTCGAAAAACCCGTGTTCAACTACGATCTTGACGTGTTCAACCAGATCAAGTACTACCTTGAGGAGAAAAACCACCATGGGCTCGCCCTCATTGCCCGCCAAAAGGGGGTGCCGCCGTTCCTCCGGTTCAAAGTGTGGCCGCTTTTACTTAAAACCCACCCGTTTGTGTTGCTGCCGTTTATCCAGCCCGACTGCCACCAGGATGACGACGACGGCGCCTTCGACGTAGACGAGGTCGAGCGCAGCATCGGCCACGACCTCCGCCGCTACGTGCAACGCTTGCACTACCTGTGCAAGCCCCTGACCACCATAGACCCCCGCGCCCACCAGATCATCCACATCTTGCACCAGGCCGTCCTCAAGTTCGCCAAAAAATGGTCCCGCATCATCAAGTACGACTCCTCGCTCACCTGGATTGCCCTCAACCTTGCCGAATGGCTCCCCCCGGTGGAGAATACCCCCTGGGTGCTCTGTGGCCGCGACCACAAAACCCCAAACGACCAGGTCGTCACTAACGTCATCGATGACTACTCAAACTATATCGACCACATTCCGGGGTTGGCCGAGTTTATGAACGACCTTGTTGAGGACACCACCCTCAACACTCTTAATTTCAGCGAGGTCTACGAGCGGCTTGTGCTTGTGCTTCTCCACTGCCCCGAACAGACGCGGCTGCTGACGTCACTGGGGTCGCTGCTGCTGCTGCTGCTGCTGCTGCTGGATCGGGGTGCGGGAGCTCCGCTGCGACCGGAGCCCGCCGACGATGATTTGGAGCCGCGGCTGCGGCTGGTGCTTCCGTTAAATGGCGGCACCATCGAAGACCGGGTGGCCTACTTCATCTACTGTTTCCGCAAACTATTACCCGAGCTCGCCAACTACTTCTCCGATGAGCAAATCCTCACTCGGTTTGGGTCTCAGGACGACGAGTGGTTGATCTGGTGGCTCAAATACGCCGGGCTGAAGGTGTGGCTGAAGTTCGACCGGGGCCGCATCTGGGACTTGTTGCTTGGGTGGCGATTAGTCAACCCCAAGCGGACGATGCAGTACTACTTTGAAAAGCTCAACATTTCGCGGGCGATGTTGGCGAAGCTTGGCCCCGATCTCTTCTGGCTGGTGCGTAACGACGACGACGACGGCGGCGACGACGACTCCGACGGATACACGGCCGACAACCTTCTGAGTACCACCACCACCACCACTGGGTCGCTTAATCCTCGGGCGAAAAACTCGCTGTTCCGGGACTTGGTGACGGAACTTAATAACAAGCTCACCATGGACGAGCTTTATCTGCTGCTGCCGGGGCTGGCGCTGGCGGCAGGGGAGAAGAAGCTCACCATTCCCTTCTCGACGTTGGACCCCCAGTTTGAGCTTATTTTCATTCTGCTAGCGTTGCTCAAGCTGAAGGAGAATATTCTCGTCGAGCTTGATCAGCACGAGATCCGCCAGTTTTTATCGCGGTTGCCGCCGAAAGCGTATAAATTCAAGGTGAAGGAGGAGGTGGTCACCACCAGCACCGAGCCGTCGCCGGGGCTGCTGCCGCCGCTGATTTCGTCGGAGGGGGCGCTGCATTCGCTGAGTCTGGAGCCCATGATCATCCGCAATGACTTCCTCATCACCGACTATAAGGTCGACTTTATGGACAACATCATCAACGAGGCGGGCGACTTGTGGCGCCAGTGGATGTGGCGGGAGATGGTCGACGATAGATGACATGTAATTCATCGACACCGGTAAATTTTGGCGGTGTTGGTGACTTTTCATGAAGGGGGCAGAGCTGGGCTCTGAATCAGAACAATCTGAGCGAAGTGGTGTTATATAGATAGATATTCAATTGGACACATTTAACCTTATCCGACGGCCCGAGATAAGCTCACGCGAGATTAAGCTGTGATAACCATTTGGCACGTGGCTTATCATGAGTTATATCGATAACAAAATAATCGAGACCCCAACCGGTTTGACAAAGAAAACATAAATTTACTGAAGTATCAAAAACGGAATAGGTTTGTTTCACTTTATTTTATTTCCCCCTCTTACGGTGCGGTGAGGTTGGGGTGTCTGATAAGGGTCATCGCGCACGCATCTCATCGGGCCATGTCTGACGAGGAGAGAGTTACGCTAAAGGGCGACAAGGTGGAGAAGAAGGAGAAGAAGGAGAAGAAGGAAAAGAAGGACAAGAAGGAAAAGAAGGACAAGAAGGAGAAGAAGAAGGACAAGCAGGACAAGATAGACGCCAAGGATACGGATGAAGCCGGCGATGAGATCGAAATCGACTTGAACGCCAGCGTGCCCCTCAATAAAAAGCAGCAGAGATTGCTCAAAAAGGGTAAGCTTGATCTTGAGAAGCTTGAAAAGAAGCACCCCAAGCCCAAGCCCGCCACCGAGGACGGCAAGGACGACGCCGAACCGAAACGGCTGCCGTTCGGGGTGTGGATCGGCAACTTGTCGTTTGACACCACCAAGGACGACTTGGTGCGGTTCATCGTCGCCAAGCTGGCCGAACAGGGCACTAGCGTCACCGAGGAGGATATTCTGCGGGTGAACATCCCCAAGAAAGAGAATAAGATTAAAGGGTTTGCCTACGTCGACCTCCCGCTGGCCGACCACGTGGCGCTGGTGGTGGCGCTTTCGGAGCTGGCGCTTAATGGACGTAAGCTTTTGATTAAAGATCTGACGTCGTTTGAAGGCCGCCCGCTGAAACAAGAGGCGGCGCTTTCGAAAAACCCCCCACTGCGGATTCTTTTCGTCGGCAACTTGTCGTTCGACACGCTGGAAGACAACTTACGCGAGCACTTTGGCCACTGCGGTGACATCGTGCGGGTGCGGATGGCGACGTTTGAGGACCTGGGCAAGTGTAAAGGGTTTGCCTTTATTGACTTTAAGGACGAGCTGGGCCCGACGACGGCGTTGAAGCTGAAGGTGGCGAAGACGTTAATCAACCGTAAGTTGCGGCTTGAGTACGGCGAGGACCGTCTGAAGCGGGCGCCGAAGCGCCCGCACCCCGCCATCACCGACGCCGACGCCGAAACTCACGTCAACCCCTCCGAGGGTGCCGGTTTCGAACCCCGTGCTGGGGCCCCAGTCAGTCGGGAGCGGGACGTCGCCGCTACCGCTCGCCCCCCTGTGAAGCGTCGTCGGCCTGATGACCACCACCAGCAACCGTCGACCCGGTTGAAGCTGTCAGTGGCCCTCGCCCAGGCGCCGCGCGCGCTGGCGGCCATCGTCGAGCTGACAGGCACCAAAATTAAGTTTGACTAAGAAAATGCGGGGAACCAGCTGAAAATCCCAATCAGGCTAATCGCGGGCCGCTCGCCTACATAGACAACGACATATAATCCACGACTTATTCCCAGACCCTAAACTTTGTGTTTACAAACGATACTTAACCAATTGGCCATGCTCCGGTTCGTACGTCGCTATAGTCTCCCCACCACCCAGAAAGCGGTGGTGTTTGAACGCACTGGGGGGCCCCTCCTCTACAAGGACGTCCCCGTGCCCCGCCCTAAACCGCACGAGCTCTTGATCAACGTCAAATACTCCGGCGTGTGCCACCTGGACCTCAGTGCCTGGAAAGGCGACTGGAAGAACCT